TGGTTTAAGTATTGATGGAAACATGCAGTAGTTTAGTATTGTTGACGTTGTTTCAACATTAAAAAAGGATGCAAGAGTGACGTTAGGTCAACGTCACACCTCAACATTGATTCAATGACATCGCCTGATATTGATTCAACATTGTTTCAATGTTTCCTTGGGAATGCACAGCAGGAAAACGGGGTACAACATTTTTTAATTAGCAAGACATCCTTTCATGGACAAACGTGTTTTTAATTAGATTGTTCTATACTTATTTTAAGGACCATAATCACAGATGAAAACATGCATTGTAGATTTACGCTTAAATGTTTATATAAATCTTTTTTTATATTTATGTTGAGAGTGCACATCCTGTGGAAGCAACCCCACCATCTAACACTTTCCCGCAGCTGTGTGCATGACTGAAAATCAGTTTGGTTCAATTTCTTTCGTTCCCTTGAGTTTTCCTAATGAAAACAGCAAGCAAGTCCTCAATGCAGGCAAATCCAATCACATCATCATTAATTCTTTGGTAGTGCAGTATTAACGAGGAGCGCATAGACTAATACACCGCAGTTAGATTTCTGGTAAAGAAAAACGTGAGACAATTTTTTTCCATCAGTAATTCATTTAGCGCATTTATTCTGCGTGGACTTGCAGAAAGTAGTGAAAGTTTAATCCAAGTGGTTCAAATTTCAAAAAATCCAAAAGGCAAAATGCAGAAAAAGAGGGAGGAAGAACTGTGGGAAAGGATTCAGACTAAATACACAATATAGAGAACAGGTGCAGGTGAACAAAATCTGGGCGGGAAGAGAACAAAGGCAGGAAGTCAAGAAAATAGCAACCCACACAAGGAAACAGCTCTCAAAATATATCAGAAAGTCACTGAAAGACGGACAAAAAAGGAACTCACACAGACAGGCAGGAAGCCACAAAAGGCATGAGGAAAAGGAAAATGCTTAGAAACACAAGAAACTAGGAAGATACACAGCAGCTCATACTTCTGATTTACCTCTCTGTGACATTCTGGTTACAGTAACAACTTAATGCAGAAATACAAAATCTCAAAATGTAACTTATTCTATTGAACTTCTTCAATATTGACTATTATTAACTAAAAAGAAATCATCCACTTTAGCTCAGTTAAAATAGAAATATAGCAAAGTATTCAGATTTAAATTGACAGTGTTAAATTTAGTGGCTCTTGCTGTTTGCAGGAATGTTTTTGGTCTGAGGCGTCCGTCTCTTTCTAGTTTTTCTGTCTGGCCCTTTGTCAGTCAGCCTCTTCAGCAGTTCTACAACACAAGCAATGAAAAACCACATAAGGTAACTTTATGTTTGTTTTGTAGCATTTTCACAATGGCAGGAATAGGTTTGTCCAGCAGGAGGCCTCAGAGAGCCACTTCCACACCCCCGATGTTATTCTTATCATTAATATTATTTTATTGTTACCTGTTAATTCAGGATGACTTTGACTGTTGTTGTTCTGAAGGGAGACATATTTCTGACCTCCAGCCTCATGGTCTCCTGAGGGAGCACAAGAAGTCACGGGCATGCTTTCAAACACAGGTAAAATCATACTTTACATTCAGCTTTCAAAAAATTAGGATGGCAACATGCATTTCATTCACAAAACCCCTGAAAGCACCAGAATTAGTTTGTCCTGCCACTTATCATCATTACATCAATATATTTGGAATCTAATTATTTAGACCAGACACTGATAACATAATTAGGTTTTGGAAATGCTTTTATAATCTGGGTGTTTGTTCCTCTGAAGTCCTGCTGATGGATGGACCAGACGGACTCACGGCAGACTCGCAGGAGGACGTAGTAGTGTCTGGCTACCAGCACACTGCTGGCCAGAGCCAAACTGTGCTGCTTGGCTGCCAGGTTCATCACTTTACCACTGCTGTCCATCAGGTCCACACAATCTGCAGGAAGAATTTTGTTGCTTTTAGAATTTGTATAAGAACAATTTAAAATGATCCAGCATTTTAGTCCAGTACCTTTGGAGTCCACACCGGCCCTCTCTTTCAAATGATGGAGGAAGTTTATCAGCTTACAGTTGAGATTGAACATTTCCATCCTGCCCTCTGCCAAGAAGTCATGCACATGCATTCACAAAAAATTTGGAACAAATGCTGTAAGGTGCAAAAAAAAAAAAAAAAACCTGCATGCCTGCAAACCTTTAAGCCTCCATGCACAGTATTAACATGCCCAGCAACTTTACTAACCTCCAAACAAGACAGTCACAAACATTTTCAGGTCCAGACTCCTGACAGCAGTTAAGCTCCAGTGATACTAGAGGTAGAAGAAGACTGGACTGGGCACAAAGTGGAACAATAAAAGCACTTTAGTGTTGTGGTCTGCATTTTTTCACACATCCACCACCCTGAGAGAGTTAAACACACACACACACATGCATGTTCCCTCATTTGCATCCACCTCTCCTCGCTCACAAAGCTTGAGTCTTGTAAAAGGATGAACAAGGGACTGTTTCTGCTTGTATCCATGGAGTCTCTACACACAGTGAGACCGGCACTCTGGACTTAACAGCTGCATGGGCAGAGATGTCAGTATTGAAAAAAAAAGAGCTGGTTTTATTGTTTCCCGCCACAGACTGGAACCCAACTCCATTTGCACTTACAGTAACTGACTTATAAAGACAGATACACCGAGATTTCATTTTGGTACCACAGAGGAAGGATAGAAGTTTAAAATAACAAAATTCAAATAAACAGCCAACATCAATAAAAGATAAGTTCTATCATCTGTTCATTTTTGGTGTATAGTTACATTACAGACACTACTACACTCAATCAAAAGCAACGTGGAGTCTCTGTAACCCAATCTGCCACATGAATGACTGATTCCTTAAAGCCTCTGTAATTAGTATTTTATAAAAGATCTTTTCCTACTGGCTACTTTCAGCTGCTACTTGTCATACCTCAGCTTTAGGTTTGAGTTAATTCATTTGCTAATGAATACCAGAACACACAACAATGATATCTGTTCAATACCTGTCCAAAAATAACTTGGATCTGCCCAGAAGCAAAAGTCATTTCCATTTCCCCATTACTAGGCTGTAGTATAAGAGACTGCAGGACCAGACTCACCTGGATTGATTACAAGAAGGCCTATGACTCAATGCCCCACACCTGGATCCTGGAATGCCTAGAACTATATAAGATCAACAGGACCCTGAGAGCCTTCATCGGGAACTCGATGGGGATGTGGCGGACAACACTGGAGGCCAACCTCAATCCCATAGCACAAGTCAACATCAAGTGCGGGATCTACCAAGGAGATGCTCTGTCCCCACTGCTGTTCTGCATAGGCCTGAACCCCCTCAGTGAGATAATTGACAAGACTGGCTACGGATACCGACTACGGAACGAAGCAGTTGTCAGCCACCTCCTGTACATGGATGACATCAAGCTGTATGCCAAGAGTGAACGAGACATCGCTTCACTGATCCACACCACCAGGATATACAGACATCGGAATGTCGTTCGGGCTGGAGAAGTGTAGTCGGATGATAACAAAGAGAGGGAAGGTAGTCAGAACAGAGGGAATCAAACTACCAGAAGGCAACATTGCAGACATAGAGGACAGTTACAAGTACCTGGGGATCCCGCAGGCGAATGGGAACCATGAAGAGGCCGCTAGGAAAGCTGCAACCACCAAGTACCTGCAGAGGGTCAGGCAAGTCCTGAGGAGTCAGCTGAACGGTAAGAACAAGATCCGGGCTACCCCTGCTGGGGTAATAGGCTGGCCAAAGGAGGAGATAGAAGCCACTGACATCAAGACAAGGAAGCTCCTTACCATGCATGCAGCACCCTGAGGCTGTACGCTAAGCAGAAGGAAGGGGGCCGGGGACTGGTGAGTGTCAGCACCACAGTCCAGCATGAGACAAGGAACATCCACGAATACATCACAAAGATGGCCCCAACTGACCGAGTGCTCAGTAAATACCTCAGGCAGCAGAAACCCAAGAAAGTGGAGGAAGGCGAGGAACCATCATGGAAGGACAGGCCCCTGCACGGTATGTACCACCGGCAGATAGAGGAGGTGGCTGATATCCAGAAATCCTACCAGTGGCTGGACAAAGCTGGACTGAAAGACAGCACAGAGGCACTAATCATGGCAGCACAAGAACAAGCTCTAAGCACAAGATCCATTGGAGCTGGGGTCTATCATACCAGGCAAGACCCCAGGTGCAGGCTGTGTAAAGATGCTCCAGAGACAATCCAGCACATAACAGCAGGGTGCAAGATGCTAGCAGGCAGGGCATACATGGAACG